TAGCGGACATGGCAATACCTGGAGACAGCAGATTAGAAGAGAAAGAACTGGAGAAAATCACAAAATACAAAGACCTGTAAATAGATGTAGAATGGCAAAAGAAAGCAAAGATAGTACCAATAGTTATAGGCGCCTTAGGTGCAATCCCAAAACATCTGGAGCACCACTTGAACACCATTGGCATGGACAAAATCACCGTCAATTGCAAAAGGCAGCTTTACCTGGAACAGCTTATATCCTGCAATGATACTTTTAACACCATCAAGCAAATCTGCCTATCCCAGGTCCTTGAGAAGGACTCGATAGGTGGATAAAAATGTCAAATCCAGTCTAAACATCTGGCTGACTGTGCGACCAACCATAATAATAAAAATGGCACCTTAATTATTTATTGTTGGCAATAATAATAATAAAAAACCCCAGATCAGCAGCCACTGTGCCCTCAGCTGGCAATTGGCAATTATCAGCAGAAAAGATCTGGCTAGGCTGGTTAGCTCCTTTTTTGCTAGCAAGGAAGGAGCAAGATGTGGTTTTGCAGTATGAAGCATGCCCAGTGGTGTAACTATGCAAGGCCTGCCCAACAGCAGGTCACAACACAGACATATAAGGGCTTGTACACTGTGGGGCAGGGCTTGCTATAACTCATCCCGCTTTGCTGCAGATACCCTGCTTGCCTCAATATATTATCATAGCTGTTACTCAGCATTCTATTTCCTCAAAACAGCTCTCCTTCATATCTGATATATTACTTCTAAATGTGTAATTACATGGTGCATGGTCACCTAGAGTTTGTGTCTTGGTGAACTCTTTGAAAAAAGCAAGCTCACTGCTACTTCTACCCCACCTCCAATCTGGAGGTCATTATTCCACCTGGCAAGGCAAGAAGTTCAGAGAAACTCTTTTGGGGCAAGGGCTTCAACTGGCCAGCTCTGACCATCTCTCAGGCTTAATCCAGCACAGAAGCTGGGTGAGGGCAGTTTATACCAGCTCTGATGTAAGATGCAATACTAAAATAAATGTGAAGCCTTTCTGCCTCTTTCCAAGAAGAGTTGCAATATGCTCCTTGTATGACCTGTCAGGAAGAGTGAGGAGGGCTTTGAACAGACTCCTTTAGATGATGTTTTCTGGCACAAAGGCCTTCGAGCATCAGTTCCTAGAGGCCTCAGTAGAGGACTACAAGAAAATTGGGAAATTCAGAAGGGTGGCTGAGGAAAGAGAACAAGACTCTCTCCTGGTTGAATCTGTTCTGGAGATCCCAATACCCCCCACAGAAAATCCTCCATGCATAGGTCTCCCATCTGCAACAGGAGCCTAAACAGAGTACTCTGTAGCTGTTCTTGGACCTACCAATTCAAAAGCTCACTCACTTCCTTCATATGAGCTCAGATTGAGCCCATGGATTATGCCCTCTTGAGGGTATAGTAATCTCCACTCCCACAGATTTCAGTGGAGAGAATTAAAAAAAACCAAATCTGCCTCAAGAAAAATAAAAATGCATTCTTCCACCTCATGACTTCGCTGCTTTCATTTGGCAGAGCTTCAAAAGCAGTGAATTATTCTTCCTTTTAATTCTTAGGATCATTCTATCAGTCATAATGGAGAATGGAAGGACATGGTGGTAGCACCTACCGGATTGGCTTTGAGACTTGAGAGC